TAAACATACAACAGAGCGAAAGAGTAATGTGAAGGACGTGGGAGTGAAAATGTCAGAGGATCTCTCCTTCAAAGCCCACAACAATGTATCCACCGCTTCTGCTAGAAAAATGAAAGGATGGATAATGAGAACCTTCAAAACCAAGGACGCCAGGCCCATGATGATTCTCTTCAAACCGCTTGTTCTCTCTAGGCCAGAATACTGCTGTACACTAACTACCCCTTCAAGGCGGGCAAAATTGCTGACCTGGAGAGTGTACAAAGAACTTCCACGGCACACATAAGCACAATAAAGCACTTAAATTACTGTAAGAGAAGTAAATGCGAGGGTCTTGGCAAGAGGTGTGGAGTTAAAAGATAAAGAATCACACATAAAGTGGGAGTTGTCACAGTTGCTCTTTGCTGATGACACTGTGCTCTTGGGAGAGTCTGAAGAGAAGTTGCAGAGATTGGTGGATGGATTTGGTAGGGTATGCAAAAGAAGAAAATTAAAAGCGAATACAGGAAAGAGTAAGGTTATGAGGATAACAAAAAGATTAGGTGATGAAAGATTGGATATCAGATTGGAGGGAGAGAGTATGGAGGAGGTGAATGTATTCAGATATTTGGGAGTGGACGTGTCAGTGGATGGGTCTATGAAAGATGAGGTGAATCATAGAACTGATGAGGGGAAAAGGGTGAGTGGTGCACTTAGGAGTCTGTGGAGACAAAGAACTTTGTCCTTGGAGGCAAAGAGGGGAATGTATGAGAGTATAGTTTTACCAATGCTCTTATATGGGTGTGAAGCATGGGTGATGAATGTTGCAGCGAGGAGAAGGCTGGAGGCAGTGGAGATGTCATGTCTGAGGGCAATGTGTGGTGTGAATATAATGCAGAGAATTCGTAGTTTGGAAGTTAGGAGGAGGTGCGGGATTACCAAAACTGTTGTCCAGAGGGCTGAGGAAGGGTTGTTGAGGTGGTTCGGACATGTAGAGAGAATGGAGCGAAACAGAGTGACTTCAAGAGTGTATCAGTCTGTAGTGGAAGGAAGGCGGGGTAGGGGTCAGCATAGGAAAGGTTGGAGGGAGGGGGTAAAGGAGGTTTAGTGTGCGAGGGGCTTGGACTTCCAGCAGGCATGCGTGAGCGTGTTTGATAGGAGTGAATGGAGACAAATGGTTTTTAATACTTGACATGCTGTTGGAGTGTGAGCAAAGCAACATTTATGAAGGGGTTCAGGGAAACTGGCAGGCCGGACTTGAGTCCTGGAGATGGGAAGTACATTGCCTGCACTCTGAAGGAGGGGTGTTAATGTTGCAGTTTAAAAACTGTAGTGTAAAGCGCCCTTCTGGCAAGACAGTGATGGAGTGAATGATGGTGAAAGTTTTTCTTTTTCGGGCCACCCTGCCTTGGTGGGAATCGGTCAGTGTGATAATAAAAAAAAAAAAATAAGTTGAAATCCTTTGATTTGTATTCCCTGGAATGCAGGCGAGAGAGATACATGATAATATACACTTGGAAATCCTAGAGGGATTAGTACCAAACTTGTGCAAGAAAATCACTCTATGAAAGCAAAAGACTTCACAGGAGATGCTACATTCCCCTAATGAAAATCAAGGGGACCATGAGTGCACTGAGGGACAACACAATAAGTGTCAAGGGCCCAAGACTGTTCAGCTGCCTCCCAGCATACATAAGGGGGATTACCAATAGACCCCTGGCTGTCTTCAAGAAGGCACTGGACAGGCACCTAGTCAGTACCTGACCAGCCAGGCTGTGGTTCATACATCAGTTTGCGTATGGCCAGCAGTAACAGCCTGGGTGATCAGACCCTGAGCCACCACGAGGCCTGTTCTCAGACTGGGCCGCAGAGGTGTTGACCCCTGAAACCCTCTCCAGGTATACTCCAGGCCTCCAGGCATACCTAGATAAACTGTGAGCTGTAAATTATGGCCTAAATATGAAAAAAATGGGTCTGTGCAGTGAGTTTGCACAGTAGAAAAAACATCCTAGCCCAAGTAGTGCATGATGGGAAAGGCAAAACTCTGACCATGAGAATGGTTTAAAATAGCAAATTTCAGGTGTTTTCTCAGATGGTTTTTATGGTTTTAGTGGCTGATTCTTGGTATCATCCAATAGAATAAAAGACGTACTAATAAAATAGAGATGATTTTGGTTGGTTTCAGGATTGGAAGTAGCTTGAAAATGATCTCAAATTAGTAGAAATACATATTCGATTTCTCCAGTTTTCCTGAGGATGGGTAAGGCTCCCTACACCTTAAATCTGTTTTCTGGGCTTTTAATTGATCTGATACAACTGGTACACTGTAAACCATGACCTATCATTGATGGTTATATTTTATTATCTGAGAAACAAGAGTAAATCTTCTATTTTTGTGTGATTATGAATTTAAAATGGAAGGAAACAGTAATATAGGAGAGGCCTGGGGACATGATTAATGAACAGAGGAAATGTTGTTTTAGTGCCAGGAATGTCTACATTGCTTATTTTGAAATCCATTTTTAAACAAGTATTTTTCTAATTTGTGTAAAATTGGCCACTTTACACAGTAGTTGAAATAGTGAATGGGTGATTTTGTGCACTTAATAGAATCAAAGGCACACTAGCAAAACTGCTAAGAATTTGGTCAACTGAAGCAATGGATTTGGTTTAAAAATAGGACTCAAAGTCTATGAAATTGCCAATGCATAAATTGTGCAGAGAATGCTAACTTTGAACCTGCATAATTCTGTAAATTTTCCATCAAATTTTATACTTTTGGTGCCATTACCCTCAGAAAAAGGTTCTCTACCATTTCATTTGTACTTTAATCTAAGTAACTTATAATTAAAGTAACTTGCCCTATCTTCGCCATCTCTATTCAGTCATTCCATAAAACTGAAGATCACTGAACCACAGTGGCATCGTAAGGGGAGGGGGAGGCAGGCTGCCCTGGGCGACACCATAGAGCCTCTAAAGAAGGTGAAACTAATGCCCAAAACAGTGCTGCAGGAAGATAAGAAAAGAATCCTTCGTTTCTATATAACTTCTTATAAGATTACAGAGTACGAATAGGCCTATACGTATAGGGACAATCATTGATTTGACGATGTGATAGATGATTTTGCAGGACTGAAGGCAAGAAAATGTAAGATCATATTCACTGAGATGTTACCTGTACTCAAGGTCAAATCGGAACTAGAGTTTCTCTGATACTGCAATGTTTTTCTTAATTTTTCATTTTTTTTTTTTTTTTTTTTTTTTGCAATGTTGAAGATGAATAAATGTAGGATCTGTTGCCTGTACTCAAAGTGCTATTTGAGTTTATGTTTCTTCAGTATTACTATGATTATTTATTTTATCATTAATAAAGTTGAGAAGTATTCTCCTGTTCGGTTTATGGCCCTTAAATGTTCTCATTGCTAAGCATTAGTCACTGGGTATGCAGTAGTAACATAACTGGAATTTACTCCCCCCATCCCCCCCACCCTTGGATTTCATGGGTGTGACACCAAAATGCCACCCCGGGTGACACCAACCCTAGCAACGCCACTGCTGAACCAGTTTAAATAATATGTAATTCTTTTCTAATTGACCTTTAGTCATTTGCTACCTTTCTTACCATACTTACGATTGTGGTTAACTGTACAAGAAGTTCTACTTAATAATCTTTGTCTTGTTCTTCAGTAACATATAAGCCTTATGATTAGTTGCCTGAAATGCACTGCATAATAAGTGGCTTTCTTTAGTACCTACTACTGAACTAATACAATTAACATTTTTCAGTACAGCTCAAGGAAATAAACATTATTACTATTATTGCACATAGGGCACATGAGAATGTCAATTGTTCCAAGAACCTTGTGTTTGTTACTGTACACAAGTGTTGAAAATTTGAAGCAGGTTGAATGACACATTGTCGTGTTATGAGTAAAACAAAAATGAAAATTGGAGGAAAAAAAAAATTCAGGCATACTCTACAAGTTAACCCTTTGGGGATACCTAATAATAATTTACAGTAAGTTAATCACTCAACAATTATCAAATGTGATGCTGAGAAAAACAAGATCTTTAAAAAAAAATCTTGTGCAAATTAATTTCAAGAATGATCTTTAGCAAAGTGAGCAGAGAATACCTGCACATGTCAGTTGCTCTACTAACCTTCACCTAAAAATAACTGACTACGGTTTGAAGTGTGAATCCGATTAGATAAGGCATCCTTAATTTATAAACAAAAGCCTTAGATGGTATGGGGAAACTGAAGCTAACAGACGGATGGCTCTGGCATCACACCATGCAGTATTTAAGGATTCACTCAACTCAGGAAATTTAAAAACACTATAAAAATGTGAGTTTTCAATATTTTTCAATTTTCTTATGGCAGCTGTATTAATTTTAAAATTCTCTATAATCTTGTTTGTAAAAATGGATTTTTGTGTTTCTTAAGATATTCCAATTCGATAAAAATTCCAACTATTGCAAGTTTAAAACAATACTTATTACAATGACAAATATGCCCACACACAGATTATGCTGAATGGGTATTATCCTGGCTGTAAGATGCACCTGCCATTAAATATTGAAGCCATTCAGAAGAGATGGACACATATTTTGATTGTAATGATTTAACAGTAATCAAAATTTCACAGAATTTTACACACAAAATGGTCAAATCTGCACCAAACTACTCAAATTTCACACTCTGTTTTTGTTAAATTAGGAGGTACTGTTTTAGGACATTTGAAGCTATGCCACTCAGAGTTTTGAAAGTTATCCAAGTCATTTCAGGATGCTAGGAATGAGTACAATAACTTTCGTCACAGGGCACCTATAAATGCTGATTGTTTCTAGAATCTGGTACTCATTACTGAGCAGAAGCATTCAAAATTTGAAGCCAATTGGATGAGGGATTCTCAAGTTCAAGGATACTTTGTAAAATATTTGAAAAAAGTTATTACTAATCAAATATTAAAATACAGTATTGTACTTTATAATGTAGAACACCACTTTATTTGGTTATTTACCTGGTATTATACAGGGTCCATCAGTAAGGGTAATACTGTCTATGGCAATGTTACCATCTACAGTGTCTGCTCTTGTTCCCTCCACAAGGATGTTGAACAATTCATCTGAAGCAACAGTGACTTGACCATCCATCCACACTGCTCCTTGTGGTCCTTCATGGAACCAAAGTGACTGGAGATCTCTTCCATGCTGGAAGTAATGATAAGAATTTAAAAGTCAAAGTCACACTCAAATTTAAAATTAGGCTATAGAATAAATAAACAAATATATAGATGAGTACACACACTGTTTTTTAACTCAATACCCAACTCACCAACACTCAAACAAAACAAACAAACAACTTTATTTCTTTAAAGTTTAATTCTATATAGTTATGCAAAGAATTTTGTGCAGCCTTAAAAACTAACCTATAATTCCTAGACAATGATACATACAATACATGAAAATAAAAACAGTTAATTTATACAATACTGAAAGTATTCAGAAATTAAATAAAAAATTATAATTAAAGATTCATTAAGGATGAAGCTGGGTACCTAAATTTTTACAAGGAAAATGTCTTTCTAATAATAAATGAGACTCACTCCATTTACTCAATTCCCATGTTTTCAGATGTGTACTGACATCACAATGCAACATCCCCCTCCCTCCTTCAGAATACAGGCACTGCCCTTCCCACATCAATGGCCATCTGCTAAGGCAGGGTAACCCAAAGAAGAAAACACATTTACTATCATTCATTCAGTTGCTGTTTTGCCAGGAGTGTACTGACACCATAATTCAAATTATCTTCCAAATGAAACATTCCATCCCTCTTGCAGACTGCAGGAATTGCCTATCTCACCTCCAGGACTCAAGTTCATTTCAATAGTTTCCCTGAATCCCTTCATAAATGTTACCTTGCTCACTCCAAGAGCAACTCCAATAAAAAGGACTTGTCTCTAATCATTCCTATCTAACATTATCACACATACTACCTGCTGTATGTCCAAGCCCCTAAAATTCAAAGCTTCTTTTATCTCCTCCTCCCTCCAACCATTCTTGAGAAGACCCCTTGCTCTCTTACCTTCTACCCCAAATTAATGCACCCTCATCATTATCTTGTCCCTCTTCATTCTCTCTACATACCAAAACCACCTGGACAACCCTTCCTCATCCCCCTGAATTGTACCCTTGGTGACTCACACATTGCCTTTTAATTTCTACACTCTGAACAATATACACTTGCTTATTTACCTGTTGGAAGATATTAAGACCATGGGGTCCATCCAGCATGTAGGAGAAGGAAAAGCACGAAGCATGTGTGGCAGATATCTCCGTGGAGTTCATAACGCCACGTGCATAGGGGTTAACAGTTTTGGTGATGTCCAGATAAGCATAGCCACCTGCAGTATGGTAAATTATTAGAGGCATTAGTGACAAGCACTTCTGCTACTTGCATACATAGGCTACATAAACAGATAATTAACCCTTAAACGGTCCAAACATATATATACGTTCACTCGCGTAGCGCCCCAAATTTTTTGAGAGAAAAAAAACTTTTTTTTTTAAAGGAAAAAAGAGCATATGGTACCCAGGCATCCCCAATTATTTTAATATGGCACACAGTGAGTGAGCACACCCATTCTCTCATGTCTACGTGACTCAGGCTTATCGTGGCAATGTTGAATGAATGACAAAGAAAACGTATATATACGTTTGGGGCGCTACGCGCGTGAACGTATATATACGTTTGGACCATTTAAGGGTTAAATAAAGACTGAAGAATTGGCACAAAACATACAATCAATACCCTCATCAAAGACAAGTGGGGTTAGAGTTATATCAGTAATTTTGGAAATGTTGGCAGAGTTTTGAGTCTCACATGAAAAAATTCATTTGGATTCTCAATTTTTAGTTTGATTAACAACTCACCAAACAGTTATATAGTGACAACTGCATTTTGCTCATTTCCTTACTGTCATCATATGGGTTCCATCTCTTTTAAGAAAGGATCAATACAAACGTGGCTTTTGCCCTAGATTTGGCCTATGAAATATTGGGTACCATCATTTTCCTTCTGTTTCTTCTGTCCTCTGTGGGATGTATTCAGATTTATCTCACTGGTTTCCATCTCTATGAGAAAGTTAGATGTCTGAGAAATTCAGTAATTCTTTGTCTTTGCTTGTATACAGAGCTTCTCTCTCTTTCTAACTTGCATCTTCTCCTCTTTTTTTTCTTAATGGTATAATTGGAAGTGCATTTTTAGAAACCAATATTTCCCATCCTCTTGAGACACTGATTTAAACTCAAAATAACTTCTCATTAAAGTCTGGTTTCATCTGATCTCAATTAACATATTTAATGTTGAGGTTGAATCTACTGCAATAAATACACTCTCATGACTGTTTGTATTTTCATGCTCTCCAGAGTGTAGGAAAGTTTTAACTTCGTCAGGTAGTGATCAAAAATCTGCTGAATTAAAACACCATTACTTTCCATATCTGACCCTCGTTATTTATGAATATAAAATAGGCATTATAAATATGCACACACATAAACAGATCACACACAAGACAAGGCTGTTGTTCACCATAAACTGTTGTTTTAACCCTTTCAGGGTCGACAGGCCCTCCCCAATTTTCTTCTCAGGGCCGACAAATTTCAAAAAAAAAAAAAAAAAAAATTATTTTAATGAAAGACAAAGAATCTTTTCACGATCATAATGACACCAAAAGTATGAAATTTGATGGAAAACTTACGGAATTATGCTCTCTCGAATATAGCGGTCTCGACGATGTTTATGCATCAGCGATTTTGCCCAATTCGAGCCCTTTTTTCGGCCAATTTCACTGTACTAGTCGACAAAAATCATAACTATTTTGCTAGAACTCTATTTTTTTTCTATCGAATGAGTACAAGAACCACCCATTTACCGATTTCACTATCCAATAAAGTGGTCAGAGTTTTTGCAATTTGCCAATTTCACACAAATTTCAAAAGATGCCAAATTTCCAAATAAGATCCAGAATAAACAAGAAAGACATTCCTGGCACTAAAATAACATTTCCTCTATTCATTAGTCACGTCCCAACACCCCTCTTACATTCTTTTACTTTCCACTTTTAATTTTTATTCACCAAAAAATAGAAATTTACTGTTATACAGACTACTGCATTAGTGTAGAAATGGTATTTAAAAAATTATCAGTGCACTTGTGAAAGAATATTAGACTCACCAGTTGACGTGTAGTGTATGCATAGCATGATTTTTTACTTTTTGAACTTTGGCAAAAATCGAAGAATTTTTTCTACTTTTTGAGTTCAATTTCAAGGGACTTTTCATTGTGAAATCAATCAAAATCATCTCAATTTCTGTAATATGTCTTCCATTATATAAAATGAGACCAGGAAAACTAGAATACCATCATAAATACCATACGAAAATACAGTGCAAAGTCGCTGTTTTAAACCAAAAACACTGTCAAAGTTTTTTTTCTCATTACGCACTGTGTGCTGCAGGAATTTTTTTTATACTGTGCACACTGACCACATAGACCCATTATTTCATATGTAAGCCTACCAGCTTTCTCTCACTAGATATGAGGGCGCTAGAATTCAGGCGTACTAGTACGTCACAAACCCTGGTGTGTAATCTGTACTAGTATGTCAGAAACCCTGAAAGGGTTAAATATTTTCTTTAACAAGTTGGCCGTCTCCCGCCTAGGCAGGGTGACCCAAAAAGAAAGAAAATCCCCAAAATGAAAATACTCTCATCATCATTATACACTTTCACCTCATTCATACATAATCACTGTTTGCAGAGGTGCCCAGATACAACAGTTTAGAAGCAAATATAAAGATACAACATAAAAAGCGACCTGAAATAATATAATAAACTCCCTATAGAATATAATATCAGGGCCCCGATTATATATATACAATCCTATTACACATCCCTCCAAACTGCCAATATCCCAAATTCCTCCTTTAAAGTGCAGGCATTGTACTTCCCATTTCCAGAACTCAAGTCAGGCTATATAAAAATAACCGGTTTCCCTGAATCCCTTCACTAAATATTACCCTGCTCACGCTGAAATAAGTATGTGTTCCTGGCCTAAACTAGTATTTCCTCTTGATGCACTCCATAAATCCCCTAGGCACTGATAAGGTTAACTTATGAAGGACAGAAAAATCAATACTCTTTCACACCTGCTTATTGGCATGAGATACTTTGGGGTTAAAGAACATGTCTGTGTCCCAAAGCTTATGTTATGTAAGTTCCAAAATGTTCTCCATTGGATTTAAGTTCAGTGAGTTTCCAGGCCAGTCTTTACCCTCTGACTGTTTCAGCTGTATATATACGCCTTACGAGCCAGTGTTTTGGACATACATACATACATACATACATACATACATACATACATACATACATATATATATATATATATATAAAAATATATATATATATATATATATAATAAAATATATATATATAATACGTAATTTTTTTTTTCAACAAGTCGGTCGTCTCCCACCAAGGGAGGGTGACCCAAAAAAGAAAGAAAATCCCCCTAAGAAAATAAACCCTTTATCATCATTCAACACTTTCACCACACTCACACATTACACTGCTTTTTCAGAGTGCCCAGAATACAACAGTTTAGAACATATACATATAAAATACACAACATATCCCTCCAAACTGCCAATATCCCAAACCACTCCTTTAAAGTGCGGCTTGTACTTCCCTTTTTCCGGGACCCCCAACCGATTTATAAAAATATATATATAAAGGAAAATTTAAAGGGGGAGCCTTTTTAAATTGAGCTATGTGTAAAAAAAATTGGTAATAAGTAATCATTTTTTATGAAAAAGAGGATAAATAATTAAAAGGGTTTTGGTGCAGTAAAAAAGTGTTTTTTAGATTTGTTTTGGGGATAAAAGGTTGAGGGGTAGGCTCCAGGATGAAAATGTTTTAAAAGGGGGGCAACGTTTTGTCAGATCTTATTTATTTTGTAGCACTTTAGAGTAAGAGGTAGAGGGAAAAGAAAAGGGGCAACACAAGAAAGAGGGAGGTGAAAGTGTTAAACTAAGGGAGGGGGAAAGTTCAGGTGAGATATAAACGCTTTTGGCAAAAAGGGGGCTGTGCAAAGTGATAGTGGGGGGGGTTAAAAGGGGGTTGGAATAGTTTTAAAAATGCAGTTTAGAATGTGGGCAGAAGTTTGGGGTTATAGGGGGTGGGGGGGGAGGAAGGGATGTTTGGGGGAATGATAAGAAAGGGGTGAAAAAAAGAAAAAAAGGTACTTAAGGGGTTTTACAAAGCAGAAGTTTATAAAAAGAGCAGAGTATAGGGGGAGTAAAAGAAATGAAGAAAGGGGTGAGAGAGTGAAAAAGGAGAGGAGAAAGGGGTGGGGGAGGCCTGTCAAGAAATTTAAAGAAAAAAAAGAAAAAATTTTGGGCTTGGGTTTAAAAAAGTTAAGAAAACCTGGGGGAAAATTGGATTTTTTTCCATTTAAAAAAAGAGTAGGGGGTTAGTAGATGGGGGGAGGGGGGTTTTTAGGGGAGGCGAAATTTTTGAGGAAATTTTTAAATGTTGAGGAAGAAAGGGAGGCGGGAATTTCATGCACTGGCCCGGGGGGTATCCCATCTTTTAGGAGTGAAGAAGAGCGTAATGTAAGTGTGGTGGAGGTACGTGAGGCATTACGTAGAATGAAAGGGGGTAAAGCAGCTGGAACTGATGGGATCATGACAGAAATGTTAAAAGCAGGGGGGATATAGGGTTGGAGTGGTTGGTACTTTTGTTAATAAATGTATGAAAGAGGGGAAGGTACCTAGGGATTGGCAGAGAGCATGTATAGTCCCTTTATATAAAGGGAAAGGGGACAAAGAGATTGTAAAAATTATAGAGGAATAAGTTTACTGAGTATAACCAGGAAAAGTATACGGTAGAGTTATAATTGAAAGAATTAGAGGTAAGACAGAATGTAGAATTGCAGATGAGCAAGGAGGCTTCAGAGTGGGTAGGGGATGTGTAGATCAAGTGTTTACATTGAAGCATATATGTGAACAGTATTAGATAAAGGTAGGGAAGTTTTTATTGCATTTATGGATTTAGAAAAGGCATATGATAGAGTGGATAGAGGAGCAATGTGGCAGATGTTGCAAGTTTATGGAATAGGTGGTAAGTTACTAAATGCTGTAAAGAGCTTTTATGAGGATAGTGAGGCCAGGTTAGGGTGTGTAGAAGAGAGGGAGAATACTTCCGGTAAAAGTAGGTCTTAGACAGGATGTGTAATGTCACCATGGTTGTTTAATATATTATAGATGGGGTTGTAAAAGAAGTAAATGCTAGGGTGTTCGGGAGAGGGGTGGGATTAAATTATGGGGAATCAAATTCAAAATGGGAATTGACACAGTTACTTTTGCAGATGATACTGTGCTTATGGGAGATTCTAAGAAAAATTGCAAAGGTTAGTGGATGAGTTTGAGAATGTGTGTAAAGGTAGAAAGTTGAAAGTGACATAGAAAAGGGTAAGGTGATGAGGGTATCAAATGATTTAGATAAAGAAAAATTGGATATCAAATTGGGGAGGAGGAGTATGGAAGAAGTGAATGTTTTC